GCTAGGTTTTGCATAGATAAACTTTTCGAAGGTAGATAAATTACACGGAGTAATTTAAATGGAAAAATTCGGACGTGAAAGCTGCGTCATTACAGCAACGTGTTGCGCGAGAAATAAAAATTAAAGGAAACGGAAGAATTTCTGGAATTTAAAAAGTATGGACGATCGATGCACCCGGGTATCCAAGGAATTCGTGCTTTGAAACTGCCAACACTAGCTATCAAGTTGTTTCAATACGACTGTCGAATATTTTTCGTAATAGTTTCTACCTAAAAAAAAGAAAAAAAAAAAAAAAAGAAGAAGAAAAAAGGAGAAAAAATATATATATTTCACTGTCCAAGCAATTCCCAGCGTGAACGTTTCGAGCGAACGAATATCTTGTTCTATTTATAGTGGGAAAACATTCGAACCGGTATATTAGTTTCGTCGAATGAAAAATCGAAAATCGCTTTAGCTCAGTTCGTCTAAAAAATCTGCAAAGGTGATTAATTCCTCGGAAAAATGGAAAGGTATTTTCAGAACAACAACCCAACCTGATGTTGATAATTGTATAAAAACACACCAATACTCGTTAGTACATTTTTCTTTCTTGCTTTTTGTGGTTATGTGAAATGTAACTTTTTGAATATTCGAAATATTAGAAAAAAACTTTTTAGAAATTTATTTCTAGGAAGACACTTGAAAAAACAACCTATTCTACGTTACTTTACGCTAAATAATCATGAGCGAAGTGTATTAGGTTATGTTTTGTTAGGTTACGTACATTTGCAAACAACTTATAAGACGTTGACTTTTTCTTCATAAATTTTGTACTTCTTCCAAAAATTCTGTAATAATTGCATCATACAATTGTATTTTTACCCACAATTTATTTTAATTTGGTATTTGTTCTTTGGTTTTTAGGTTATGTATTAAAAATCGAAGCTAGGGCAACAGGAAAAGAATAAATAAATAAATGAAACTGGAAAGGGAATATTAAATTGAAAATAGAATGACATTTGTGTGTCTATAAACTTAAATTACTATTTCAAACTATAAGTGCTTAATAGCATCGCTTTACAGGTTATGATAGCTCCGGGTAAGCGTCATAAACGGTACGAACATAACCTATATCACTTCGTCTATACAGGCGATCATATGAAACCATAAAAGAAACTTAGCTTTCAATCCCGGAATATTATTTTTCCATAGCTTTCATCTGCTGTCATATTAAAAGAAATTCGTCATTAAAAATTCATTTATACATCAGAAAACTAAAATAAAAATTGCTAAATATAACAGCCTTTTTCTACGCTCTTTTCCAGCACTCGTCAATGTGTCAAAAAATCAAGGAAACCTTATTTCCAAATCATTTTTTAATTCTTAAAATCGTCTATCTATTTCAAAACATTTAACCGAAGCAAAATCGAGCCTCTAAATTCAAGCATATTTAATATGCGTCATGTAATATTATGTTTTTAAAGACATAATATTGTTGTCCATTTACAGATGTATTTATGATATCGAGTCACCGGATTTTCAGTGAGGCGAAATATAATAGTCGCTACTGTATAATTTTCACAAAAGACGAAGAATCAATTAACGATATTATCGTATCCACAAATTAATTAACTTTTCGTTTATCCAAGTCCCATATTATCGAAGTCCCATATAAACACGGAAAATACGGATAAAAGGTAATCTACTGTAACACTATTAACGGCGAAGTCCCATGAACAAAATTCCCTATACTAACCTCACTCGCACCAGACACTCCGCGCAAAGTACCAATCTCGTCAATCAGTAAAATGTCTACGAAGATGGCGGTCGTATAGGTTAGGTTGCGCTCGGCGAAACGACGCACAGTGGACAATTTCGCTGAAAAGCTAGACAAATGTCAATTTTTCAAGTAGAAACCTATGTTTTGCTTTTAAGACACGTTTATTATTTACATTTCAATACATCAAGCGCCGTATGAAATTTTGAAATGCAATAATTAATTACTGAGGTACAGGTCATCAAAGTTGACGAAATTTAGCAGTCCTATATAGATATGTATCTTAAGATTTATAGTATATTCGATGTACTGACATATCTTATACTTAAAAAATTCAATCTTTAAACATTTTTCCTATAAACTGCATTCTATAATAAAAACAAACGTTGGAATTTAACAATGCAGAATAACTTTGGATTGACTCGTGTATTACTTGTTCCAAGATACCATAATTTTTATCTATACTTAAATATAACTGTTTGTTAATAACAAATTAAAATTGTTAATAACAAATTGTTCATGACGTAAGTTTATAATAAAAGTGAAAAAATTAATAAATGATTGGTTAATAAGGCGGAAAAATAAAAATTAATGGAATCGGTAAAAGTCGGAAATTTCCGACGATCTTCGGCTGATCGGGGGCTATATAAAGGGCGTCGCGTCACGGTACAAGTCATTTGTCAGTTTGACGTTGGAAGTGTAACGTCAAATTTTTCGTCGTGTGTGGAGGGGTAGGGGGTCCGAAGTGAGGTTGGGGTTGGTCTCCCCACCCACACCTCACTGCCTTAAACAATTTAAAAATAATTTTTCTTTACAGGTCTAATTTTTTCAGGTTTTAATTATTATTATTTTTTCAGACTTTATTATTTTGTTTATATTTATCTTCATTTAAAAGTTCAAATATTGCGTATAATATTCGAATGTTTCGTCGTTGATTTGTTTATGTTTCATCATTGGCTAGATAATTGATTAGCGGGTAGTCACTGTCCATTCCAGCCGCACTTCCTTCTTTCAGATTTTAATTATTTTTTCTTCTTCCAGTTTTTAATTATTATTTCTTTTTATAGGTTCTAATTACATTTTCTTCTTCCAGATTTTAATTATTTATTCTCCTTCCAGGTTTTAATTATTTTTTCTTCTTTCAGATTGTAATTATTTTTTCATTCCGCGGGTTTTAATTATATTTTCTTCTTCCAGGTTTCACTTAGCTTTTCTTTATACAGGTTTTAATTATGTTTTGTTTCCAAACAAATTAATTATTTTTTCTTCTTTCAGATTTTATTTCTTCTAGTTATTTCTTCTTTCTACGAATATTAATTACTTTTCTTCTTTCAGGATTTAATTATTTATTCTTTACATAGGTTTTAATTATTTTTCCTCTATCTAGGTTTCAATTATATTTTCTATTTTCAGGTTTTAATTATTTTTTCTTTACACAAGTTTCAATTATTTTTTCTTCCCACGGATATTAATTACTTTTTCTTCTTTCAGGATTTAATTATTTTTTCTTTTCTCTGGTTTTAATTGTATTTTCTTCTTTCAGGTTTTGATTATTTTTTCTTTACACAGATTTTAATTACTTTTTCTTTCCACAAATATTAATTACATATTCTTCTTTCAGAATTTAATTATTTTTTTTTTGTTTTCTTAGTTTTTAATTGTATTTCCTTCTTTCAAATTTTAATTATTCTTTCTATTTTCAGTCTTAATTATTTTTTCTCATTCCAGAGTTTATTTCTTCTTTTCTATTTATTTGTATTTAAGAATTCGAATATTTTCTGTAATATTCGAATACTTCGTCGTTGTTTTTTTTAATATCTTCTCGTTGGGTTCTTTATGTCTCATCACTGGGTTGTTCCTTCCATTTGGTTGATCTTAACGTTTCATATCCCTTTCCCTTAGACAAGTTAGACAAGCGTATCTTTGTTACAGACTGTCACCAGTAAAGTACCATGTCAGGGTCTCGTTCCAAAGAGAAATCTTTGGAAAATAATTCCAAGCTGACAGCTACACATCCATTGTTATATTATTGTTATATAAATTAAGATATTTTTGAGAACCACCATTTTGCCGTTTTATAATTCTGACTCTGAATTCGTAATCAGTGATCTCCAAAAGGCATACCAAGTTTCAGATACCAAGTTTCAGGCCAACCAAATACTTTGTAACATATATGTCCACCATCTTACATATCTTTGGTCCCGCCATTTCGTTTCTTTTCACTCTCGACTTCGAATTCGTAATTAGTAACCTCAAAAATCCAAAGACACCTTGAATTACCGTTTCAGCGGTATTATTACTCATTACTAAATACCATGTCCCAGGTAAAACACAATGGCACCTTGACGCTGGGTCATCATATACTCCAAGTACCTGGAATGTATGAGGCAATAACTCAGTTCGTTTTTCCGTTTGTAACCCATACCTTTGCACCTTTGCACTTCAAAAATCTGCATCCAATAACAAAATACATAGCCCTATCAATGATCCATATAAATATTAGACCTAGTAGCACGTCGCATATAAAAACACGCAATATCGAGATAACTACACAGTCTACTTACTATTCGAAGCCACACAATCTCTTCAAAGAGCCGTCCGTTACTAATCATCGTCAAGCAAGAACGTTCTAGTAACGATATACAATACCAATTTTTGTACAAGTCAAAAGACGTCTTCATATATTACCAACTTTTCCACGCTATTCTCCACTGTGCGACCCCACGTGGTAACGAGAAACGCGATTAACACGTTAAATAACGGACCCAGCCCGTTTCTCTTGCTGTTTCGTTCAGACCCAAACTCAACTGTCAAGTTGGCCACCGGTGGCAGGCAAAATATTCACAAAACTCGGAGATACTATACCAATTGTTATAAGAGAAATTCTCAAACATTAGGTCCAAAGATGGCGAAGAATTTAACACCAAAAGATAGCACCTTTTGGTCCCAATCTGGGCCGAGCCCAAATGGAAAGTCCCACGCCGGTCCCTGGGAACCAGCATGACACTTAACATGTTAACCACTTGCGCTACGATTTAACTTTCGGTTGCCGTGCTGTGCTCTACAATATAACATGCGGCAAGGCGTTACATTGACGTGGTATACACGTCGCTGGCGGCTTTGGAACAAAAGCATCTCGACGTGCGTGGCACGTCTTTATAGCGCAAATGGTTAAACTCTACCAACGTAGAGTCAGAGAAAGTTCTAGTGGCAGATAGAATAATTCATAGAGCGTACAACTCACTTGAAGAAGTAGGTGTCGTTGACATATCCGAAGAAGGGTACAGTGTAGGTCAGCATCCAGATATTTCCACCGCCGCAATCATAATAGGGCTTTGACCATCTGCCATCCTCATATCTCACTGTCAGAATCTCGTCCTCTTCCCTCTCTGTGTGAGTCGTTTCGTTCAGGGTATACGTGTGGAAACCTGGATAAAAAATACGAGCAGTGAGTATCCATATATATCGTTTGACATCAGATGGCCTTTTCTTATTAACGATATGGGCGATCATTGTGATCAGTGGTTGAGCGAAAGGCACGTGTGCTTTGTAGTTTCATATGTATGTAGGATTGGAAATGACTATGGGGTTAAAAGAATGTCGGGAGTGTTTGAACTTAGAACAAAGGTGACCGCGGGAGAAGATCGAGTGGATGTGTATGACAGCCGAGTGCGATAGACGATTGGAAGTTAGTTTATAATAACTCATAAACTGAGTGCAATATGTGTCTGAAGTACCTGGTCTGCCGAGGTTGCGGGAAAAGAGGTATGATTAGGAAGGAAAACCTGAGTGTGAAAGAAGAACAGACTGAATGGTTTAAATAAGTATGCAAGAACGCAGACGAGTCAGTGTGTCAGTCAGAGAGCATGTAAGAAGTCCAAGTCAGTCTAACAAGAAGAAAAATCAGAAGAGCGTGCATAGCGAATCTCTCTTGTTTCATAGCCGTCATTCTATATATAAGCTTGTTTTATTTTATTAAGAAGCCAACAATACTATCTTTAGTCAACCCTCCCAAATCCGATTCTACATGTACATACATCTCGACTTTGATATTTGTTCGATTTACCTTCACGAGAAAATTCTGTCTTTGCAGCGCGATTCGTGCGGTCCCTGGAAAGAATCAAAGGAAAAATCAAAGGGAAATACGAAAGACGAAAAGATCGGGAAGATGTAAAAGCAGAGCGGAGGTTAAACCCGCAGGGACGTGGAAGCGGAAGCAGATGCGAGTCCCTCGAGGTCTGCAAGGGTTCCACTGCCTACTATCTATCCACCCTGTATACTGTTCGATAAGACGCGAAACGTTTCGCAAATTTGTCTCCGAAAATTGCGCATGAGAGTAATAAAATCGGTGGAGCAAGATGGCGGACCTGTTCGTGGAGTTTTTACAGTCCATGTGGAAGCCAATTCTATTTCGCATGATCGTTCGACGCGCCTCACTCGCCCGCGTCTAAAGCTTGTTTCACCGGAAGCCAGCTATTTCCTCACCAACGACTGTCCTCTTTAAATCTTCCCGCTGGAACGAGTCGAATCCCGGGTTCAGCTGCCGGTGCATTCTGTGGCGAGCATCAGGAACTGTTCCAGATGAGCATGGACGCTCAAAAAATGTGGTTTCACGAGAGATTTCCGCACAATGAATGGACACACGATTTCCTGAAGCGAGCACTTCCGCAAGATGGGGTTCGGGATTATAAAATTTGGTCAAACCTGATAGTCAGTGGCAAGGTTCGAGCATTTAGTATGACCTGGGTGAAGTTGGAAAATTATCCTACTAAAATTCTGTATTAACTTTGTGCATATATAAGTAGATAGAAGGAGATATTTATATAAGATTCTTTTATCTCTAGTACATCAGGGAATTTCAGAATGAAGGGTATAAGATTCTCCATGAGATCTCGTCGAAATTGTCCTCCCTGTTTAATTAATTATTGTATAGGTAACTAACAGAGACGAACAATAAAATAAAATCCAGGGATTCGAAGATGGTTAACACGTTAACACGTTAAGTGTCCAGTCTGTTTTGCTTGCCACTCCCTTCAGGCTCAGACTAGGCCGTCAAGTGAGCTACCAGCGGTGGGCAAAGTGTTCATAAAACTGAGAGATACTGTACCAATTGTTATAACAGGAATTTCCAAACGTTAGGTCCAAAGATGGCGAAGAATTTAACATCAAAGATTAGCACCTTTTGGTCCTAGTCTGGGCCGGTGCCTGAGGACCGGCCGGGCCCGAACGGAAAGTCTAGCGCCGATCCCTAGGGACCGGCGTGGCACTTAACGTGTTAATCGTTTGAGTCCCAGAGGGTTTTGAAAAAACACTGTCGAGGAATCCCAAGCAGCGCAATAGCGCTTCTTCTATTTTATGTCGAGAAATTCTAAGCGGCGCGATAGCGCTTCGTTTATATTATGACGATGAATAGATAAGTGGAGCGATAGCGCTTCGATTTCGACAGTCTGTCGCGCAAAGTCAGCTGTCGAGAAAGCTCGAAATGTGCTAGGTTTTCTCGACATGAAATCTGAACAGCGCGATCGCGCTGCTTGGGACCAAAAAGGTTAAAGGCCACGCCGGTTTTACGTGCCATTCACGCCTTTCTAGGCCGTACGAGCTGACGAGGCTTGAACGGAAAGTCTAGCGCCGGTCCCTAGGGATCGACGTAGCGTTTAAGGTGTTAACACTATGCCATCCGCACGCCTAATTGACGGCTAACTGTGATGTGAATGGAATGGCACGTAAACCCGGCGTGGCGTTTAACGTGTTAACCAAGAACAGCCTTGCTCACCATGAAGATGGTAATAAATCACTCTGAATAGACACTTGTCTATATATCCAAAGTCAAACAGCATTGCTACATTAGGCAATGGAACTAGTATCGTATCAGCTAATGCAGCTATAAATCACCTATGAGATGAACATTAGACATGGACACACAGATAAGGTGCTGTGGTAACGTGTAATAGAGGTATACAGATAGCGGCTAGTTATTAATATAGTCGTGGTGACTATATAGGCATCTAATGGAGGTTAGAGTCGCTGAAGAATGTAGGAAACGGTATTACAGCTAGCTCGTCCAGAGAAACGGGGACGTGGGATTGAGCGGATGGAAGGAAGCTGCAATAAAGCGCAGTGATCATAGTTAGTCCATGAAGGGGAGACATAGGTTAGGATCGCACGATGTAAAGTTATAGTCGGGTAAAACGGGCCGAACGAATGGAGTCAGTGCTGTCAGGATGTCGGTGCAAATAACGTTTCTCGCATTCCCTGTGCCGGAAGTAGGGTGGGGCCGATAAAGCCAGGGCAATTTCTTCTGGGACGGAAGCTCACGGCAAATAAGAGCGTTATCGGGTAGACTGAGGAGGAAACGAAAGCGGCTAAGGAAACAACGGCTTCGACGAACGCTATTTCCGTCATCTGCTCGACCCTTCACGGCAATTTCCTTCGTGATCGCCTATTCGCGCTTTCGACCACCTCTTTGGCCACGACCTCGTCCATATTTCCCTTTAATGATCGTTTCGGCTATTGCTCAAGGCTAAATTCTAATTATCTGCTGGCTATTGAGGTTAAATTGATTTTAAGAGAAATTTTAGGCAAATGAAATGAAAATTGTTGTATATGGGAATGGAGGAATCCTGGGAACCAGGCTTTCGATACTGCCAAGCGATGAAGCTTTTAGGTTAGGTGATTATTTAGACGGAATAAAAGTAAAATGTAATTATCTGCTGACTGCTGAAATTAAATTGGTTTTAAATAGAATTTAGGCAAATGAGGTGAAAATTGTAATATATGGGATTAACCTAAGGGCCAAGTTTTGTATACCATGAGACGTTCAGGCTTTTAGGTTAGGTTGAGTTAAGTGGTTATTTAAACAAAAGAAAGTAAATGATAATTATTTGCTGACTAATAAAATTACAGGGAGAATTTTGGATGACTGAGGTTAAAATTGTAATATATTGAATTGGAAGAGTCCTGGAAACCAAGTTTTGGATACTATGAAGCGATGAAGCTTCTAGGTTAAGTTAGGTTAGGTGATTATTTAGAAGGAATAAAAGTAAAGTGTAATTATCTTCTAACTGCTAAAGTTAAATTAGTTTTACATGAGATTTAGGCAAATAAAGTGAAAAGGGAGGTACATAGGGTTGGAGAAGTCCTGAGGGCCAGGTTTTGGAGGCCATGAGACACTGGAGCTTTTAGGTTAGGTTGGATTAGGTGATTATTTAGATGGAACATAAATAGCCTGGTAATGCGTTAGGCTAGAATTACTATGGATGAGAAATCAGGATTAAATGCCTCGATAAAACACCATTAATGACTATTAAACATTTTTGCCAAGTTATTTTGGCCCTCGATGAATCAGTGGATCAAAGGATGACCTATTACCGATACGCAAATAAATGTCAGATACGCAATACAATTCTGCCAATGTAATAATGAAATAAAAAGGATACAGTACACTATCTCGTTTGACCAATAAAATATTCGGCAGATTAAAAAGTTTATGGAAAGCGCGAGCAATAAATCAAACTTTATCTTGGTTACCAACTTTTTATCGTACAAATTTCCGATTTTTCATGAGCTCGTATCAGTATAAAAATTCGAAATGTTTTACGAACAACAAGATAAAAAATGCTGAATCGATTTCCCCTACTTTTTTCCTCCTTTTATCCGCCATTTAGGTTCGCCTACCATGAAGAATTTCAATTCATGCACCACAGGTATAGTACGAGATACGTCCGATGTACTTCAGACGTAACCTAACCTCAACTTTGTTCGGTTTAACCCAGTGGAACTTAATCCGAAACCTAACCTATATTTCGCGAAACCTTTCCTCTTCGTGGTACAATATGTATATTTTATTTAATACCCGAGGGAAGGGGAAGTCCTGCTTGAATATGGGTGCAGATATTACGATTTCAAGATCGACGAACGATTTCTTACGATCAAAATTCTCATCGATGAATAAAAATCCCGAATGGGAGATCAGCCATCGACCAGAATTCGTAATTTCCAACAGAATTCTCCTGTTGCCTGCTTTATCGATGAACGAAGCTAAAAACCAAGGGGATCCTATCCATTCTCCGCCAGTCCAGATTTCTGTTAAAAGTCTCAAGCTGTAACCTGTCGAACCGACGATCAGAAATGTATTGGAGGTGAATTTTTCACCGAATGCATCTCATATATTTTGCACAGCTTTCAGCTTCGAATAGCGTCTTGAACCGTGATCCAACTGTAAGAAATGAAAATCGCTTTCCGACGATTCTCCCTCGCTTCTATAAAATGTGGAGATTCGATGAAAGATATGGACCTGGAATTTGATCAACTTTCCTTGTAAAAGCGAGGCAATCGTTCATTTTTATCTTCCTAAGGTGATCGTACATTTTTGATACAATTTTTAATCCATCCGAATTAAAATATTTTTGAAATATCTCTTTGTGTAGCA